TCTTCAATTTGGTGACTTGTAGTTCAAGACATGAAAATGTCCTGTCTATCAAACATCTTAGATTAACCCTCGATCACTCGTGCTCGTCCGCCAGCCTTCATCCGTCAGACGGTTAGCATAGCGCTATTGCCACATTAGTGTTTATCACTACACGCGCGTTTCGAGTGAGGCAGTGAATGTAGCAACACTGGCGCTCGAGTGGTCGGCAGAGACTCACTCACACCGGGCGGCGCGGCGCCGCTTTTCGATTCCCGAGAAAAAAAACGGACAACGCCACCGCTTAATAAACGGATTGAACTTGGAACTAATTTTTTCAGAATTTTTAAGCGTCGAGAAACACGCTAAAATTAAAAAAAAAACAAAACGGGCGGCGCTGCGCCCATAAGACACATTTTTATGTCTAATTTGATTGAACAAAAACTCGATTGCCAAAATAGCTATCCTCCAGCTTGAATATCCAAAAAATATAAACTCTAGGATATAATTAACGCCGAGGATTAATTAAAAAATGTTTATTTAATTCAGCTGAACCATCTCTCTGGGTCTGAGAAATTTCAGGAATTCTAGTTCATACAGTCTTCTATCCAAACCCCCTCAACTATTAATTCCGAAATTAGTAATCCCGGAATCAAGAATCCTACCAATGACCACGGAATATTGAATGACATAAACTCTGTCAAGGCCCTCTCCATCTCAACCACTCCACTTCCAACAAATTACCCCACGATAGCCTATCATCCTCCAGTTCATTACTGTTTGTCCATTATGCCTCTCGCTGAATTCGCAATATCACATTTCACAGCAGGTGATAGACTATCATTGCGCTGCAAGTCGCTCGGAAAATGAGAATTTTCATTTCCATTAATGATGGAGGGTAATTACATCTCTCCGGTATCTCCAGAATGCAGATCATCAGTGGGCATACGGATGTACAATGGTGTTAATACTGGGAATGCCAATGAATTATCTTATTTGATGCTCCATTTCAGCTGATGTATGCGCAGCATTTGGAATCATTTTGTAGCCTGTCTGTTGCTGCCTATTCCGACGTGTCAATTAATCGGATTAATTTTAGTAACATCACTGATAGAGCTTCCGGGCCAATCGGCACAGGGCTGTGACAGACTAATTGGAATTACTTGTGCTATCGACATGTTTCATCAATCATCTGTTAATTGCTGCCTTTTCAGGGCCTACGTCTCCGTCATTCACGATCATTGTTGATGGACTGGACTTGTCCGTCAAGTGATTAACGGGGTTATCAGTGATATGGATGGATGAAGATACTTTTTCGTGATCGAGTAATTATTTCATTGAACATCATCCCAAACATCATTCATTATTTTCATTATTTAAAGGCTAATTATTATCTGCTGTTTTATAATTTGCAATGAGATTGATATGAGGAAATGAAGATGCATCTTGTGAATGACAGTTATTCACTCGAATGAATAATCAGCGGAAATAATTGGCTGCAGAAAAGTCAAAGCAGGCTGAGGAAATAAAATAAGGAGGTTGATTACTAATCTAACTTTGTAATGACTTCTTCGCGTGTAAACTTCACCAAATGCTTGTCAATTTGATGAGTATGATTATGCGCATCTCTACTGTCATTTCTACGCGAGGAAATTATAAAAACTATCATTATTGGTATTATTCTGAAGATAAGTTTTTCTGTTGATTAATGGTTTATAATTACGGCTGATGAATGGATAGGCAATGGAGACACATCTCACGGTTGACAATTGTTCACTTCAGTGAATTATCAACGGACGTGATTGACTTCAGGAGAATCAAGCGAAGTTGAAGTGATGAAATGCGAAAATTTGATTGAAACTCTAACTTTGTGATGATTTGCTTGTGAATAATTTCCACTGAAGGTTCCTAATTCTCATTGTAGGTTTCATGAACATTTTGTTGATTATTAGGTACATCTCCAACGTATTTTCTATATCAGATGATATTGCAAACTGTCATTATTGTTAATTTTGAAAGAATCATATTCTGTTGATTGATAATTCACTATTATTGCTGGTGAATTAGATATCTCCATCAGAGGATTAACAGAATCAATACTGATTTGAATGGATGGAGATAAGCCTCATGATTGATCATTGTTCACTTCAATGAATAATCAACAGACCTGCTAGACTTCAGGAGAGTCAAGCGAAGTTGAAGCCATGAAACGCGAAAATTTGATTGAAACTATAACTTTGTGATGATTTGGTTGTGAATAATTTCCACCAAATGTTTGACATTCTGATCATCGGTTTAATAAACATTTCAGTCATAATTACGTTCATCTTCAACCTATTTTCTACAGCAGACAACGAAAAAACCTGTCACTGTGATTATTCTGAAAATAATTAAACAACACATCTCCATCAAGGGATTAACAGAATTAACACCAGAGACACATTTCAAGATCAACAATTGTTCACTCCAACGAACAATTAGCATGCATAATTGACTCCAGAAAATTCCAGCAAAATTGAAGTGATAAAATGAGAAAATTTGATTACTAATCCAACTTTGTGAATAAATTCCACCAAATGTTTGTACTCAACTGGAGTGAGCTCATCGTTGTCAGTGGGCAAAGTAATGAGACATTGAGTTGAAGGCCAAGCGCAACAGTGTCCGCAGGAGCCAGTAACATTTTCAGAAGAGACACTGATCGCATTGGGGGGGGGGGGCTATCCAGGGGCGACGGGTAAACGCACGTACGAGTGCAACCCTCCTGCGAATTGGCAATGGGTTGCCAGAGTTGCCATGACAACGCCAGCCTAGCCCGGGAAAGTTCTGTCGACAAACCCTCCACCCCCTCGGCGCCCCTATGCCGCTTTCACCCGACAGAAAGGAGAAGTTTAAGACAGAGATGGCTAGATTCAGGATTGGAGTGATGGCGAGAGTGAGGGAGCAGTTCCGAGAATTTAAATTGACTGAGTGATGCTCAGGGGAGGGGCTTGAAGGCAAGATAGGGGGATACAGGAACAAAGAAGTGTTACTGGAAGGATTGATTTAGGGTTTTTGCGAAACGAGTGGAAATTTGCATCTTTCAGAGTTTTTGGAATAATTAAAAAATTTTGTGAAGGGGATTTTAATGATATTTGGGAGATAAATTCAATTTATTCCCTCGGGGATTAAGGCGAGGGGGAGAAAGTGTCTTGGATAATTCGGGAGGAAATGGGGGTACAGTAAATTTTCAAGATTTTGAAGAATTTGAAGGTATCGTTAAAGATCAGAAAACCGTCGAAAAAAATTGAAAAACTGAAAAAATTGGAAAGAAATTTTTTTAGAAAAATGGAAAAATTAATTGGGAGTTTGGAAATAATAAAGTTTTTTATAATTAATTCATGAACAATTAATTTCTCATCCTGAAAACCATTGTTTCCACATGCAGTTGACAATGCGGTTGTCAAAACTTTAAACAATTTCCATTTTTTATCAACGAATAAAAATATTTGAATGAAAATTGACAAATTTGTTAATTTTGATATTTCAAACTAGAAATCCGAGCAAAAATATTCAATCGCTTCAGTCAAAAATTAATCGCGTCGTGAATAAAAATCCCCTCATAAACCTTGGCGCACCGTAATTACCCTCCTTTATATTTTCAACCATAAGGAACTGAAGAATTTTCATTTTGAAAGAAGAATTCAATCGTAAAGTCGCAGTATCTCGCAATTGTCTATAAAAATTGAAAAAAAACAGTAAAAATCATATTGGATTCTTCCACGTCTCTCTCAATAGTCTCACTCAAGTGGTGCATATGGCGAGGGGGCGTGGAAACAGAGCTAACACAAAGAGGATGACAAGCCCATCGAAATCAGTGGGCCATTATGTTTGATTACTTTCTCAGGGGGGTTTCAACGTGATACAAATGGATCCTGACAGCAGCAAAATTACGTACACGATGACGCACCTTCCGGGTTGTATTTCACCCACCGGTTGGCATGATAAAATCCCCGTAGATATATCACGACAATTTTGGGTGAGGCGGAAGGGTAAGATTAACCCCAAGAATGATAATAACGGCAATTTCGATAACAAATCAATATGTACGCGGTGAAATACTGAATTACCCCCGGCCAATGGCTATTATTATGTAGATTCAGCGGATTTGGGCGCAATTCATATTACCGTGGGCTATTCACACTCAAGTGATGATGATTAATCCGAAAATTGTTCCGAAAATGACCTCAAATGCTTCGTTATATCATGTAAAAAAACATTTATATGTATTCTTTCCTCGTGAAAATACTGGAATACCTTCTGTCTAATCAAACCGCAGAAATGTCAAATGAAATTGAAGCGATAAAATGAGAGTGATTACAACCCTAACTTTGTAATGACTCGGTCGTGAATAATCTCCACCGAATGTTCGTCATTCTGCTCTTCAATTTCAAGAACATTTTGATGATGATTACCTACATCCCTACCGTATTTTATATAGTAGATAATATTAAAACTTATCATTATTATCATTCTAACAGAAATCAATTTCTGTTGATTGATAATTCGCGATTATTGCGGGTGAACTTGATATTTCCATCAGAGGATTAACGGAATCAATACTGATTTGAATGGATGGGGTTATGATTGTCTCATGATTAACTCCAACAAAGTCAAACAAAGTGGAATAAATTGAATGAGAAATTTGATTACAACTCTAAGTTTGTGATGACTCGATTGTGAATAATCTCCACCGAATGTTCGACGTACTCACCTTCAATTTTATGAACATTTTGGTGATAATTATGTATATATCCAACGTATGTTCTATAGCAGATAATATTAAAATTTATCATTATTATTATTCTGGGAAGAATCATTTTCCGTTGATTGGTAATTCATAACAGAATCAATACTGATTTGAATGGAGGAGATTGAGTTTCATGATTGACAATTGTCCGCTCCAATGAACAATCCGCAGAAATAAATGACGCGATTTCTATTATCGGGGGGCAATCAAACCGAAATAACGACGATTAATCCAATAATTATTCCAAAAATGACCGTAAATTCTTTATTCGATCATATCAAATATCGACTTACAGATTCAATAAACAATTTAAAACAGATTCAACACGATATAAAAAGAGATCCACATAAACTCATTCCTCATAAAAATACCTGCCTGCCTTTCGCACTAATCAAACCACGAAATATCTACATGACCATTGAATAGATCCTCCAATTTACTTTTTAATGAATATATTTACACATAGATAAGACTTTAAAGGCACTTGTGCGTAGTCTTGAACATGGGATAATTCTCTCAATGAATAAACCTCATTGTTTTCTCTACAGTCTTGCATTGATTGGCTTGCAGAAATTCCTAATGATCATTAGGCTTAACTTAAGTTACAGTAATATAAAAAAAAGACTAATATAAAAATATTTATACAGTACGTATAGGATGAACAACAAGAATTCAATCACGAAATGGTAAAACGTAATAAGTCAAACGCGATTTCCCCGAACTGTCAATTCTCGTGATGATTGCTCATTCATCAAAATTTCAGAGAATTATTTATTTGTTTACGCTTCACCACTTCACTAATGAACCCTGACTTTCATGAGTTCACTGGGGGAAGACTTGTACTTGATCATGCGATGGATGAATCGAAACATCATTAATCGTTGGATCTTACATGCCGTTGTAGGCAGGGCCGCCACCACCCTCTGGCACCACCCAGTTGATGTTCTGGCTGGGGTCCTTGATGTCACACGTCTTGCAGTGGATACAATTCTGGGCGTTGATCTGTAGCCTCTGTCCATCGCCCTTCTCCAAAGGTACAAACTCGTAAACTCCTGGAACAAAAAAGGGGAGAATGTCAATGAATTGCTAAAAGTTTCAGACACGAGTGATGTAACAACTTTTGAATGAGTTCCAGAGAATGATTATTGGATATAGAGTAAGGTCCGGACATGAATTTATGTCTAGACAGGAATTCATGGTCAAGTCGGCAGATGAATTTATAATTAGCCATCAATTTATGTCCACATACAATAAAAAAATGACGTCCAGATCTGAATTTCAGGCTCACGTCCGGACAGGAATTCAGCCATGAATTCCGATCGTCTGCCAAGACAGGGATTCACTTCTGAGCAGAAATTTAAATATAACTTTACGTCCGGGAAAATGTCAGACATAATTTCATGTCTGTCACTGAATTTCAGTCTTATGCCTGGACATAAATCCATGTTAGGACATGAATTCATATCATAAAATCCTACCTGAATGTGAATTCATGTCCAGATTAGAATTCCAATCTAATATCCAGACAGGAATTCATTCCCAGCCATGAACTCAGGTCTGAACATAAAATCAAGTCCGGATATGAACCTGAATTCCACTCTTGTCTAGACAGGAATTTATGCCCAGACCTGAATTCCGGTCCTATGTCTACGCAGAAATTCACTTCTGAATAGAAACCCGAATCAAAATATAACTTTACATCTGAGAAAATCTCGGACATAAAGCCATCTCTGTGACCGAATTCCAGTCTTATGTCTGGATTTGAATTCATAGAATTCGTGAATTCACATCGGGATATGATTTTATTATATGAATTCGTGTCCAGACCAGAATTCCAATTAAATATCTAGACAGAAATGCATGCCCAGACATGAACTCAAGTCTAAAAATAAACTCAGGCCCGGACATGCGTCCACATTTGAACATAAATTCATGTCTGATTATCATTTTCTGTCCACGAAAATCCACTTCTGCGAATTCGCAATTCCTCTCCCAGAATTACCCTCCCCTCTTCATTCACCCCCCC